AAGGAAGAAGTGGTCAAAGAAGAAACAGAAATAAATGGAGAAGATATAATATTTTGCAGCTTTACGGCTACTCCTCTCGACACATGCGAGCGGTCAATTAAAAACTCGTCGTGGTTGTAGCATGTGTACCACAGCGGGCTCGTTTCTCGCTGTAAAAACCGTCCGAGCTGCCTTGTCTCGAAAGTGTAAATAAACTGCCGCCCCCGATCGGCGTAATGCGCCGCGGAGATGCGATCGCGAAACGGCGCGGATCATGCCAATGCAACGGCATGCAACAGGAACAGCCTTCGTATGCGGGCTGTGTCCACCTGGCACGAAACTCCAATGCAACGTTGATACGCTATTGATAGGATCAAACATCTATTCGCGCGCGCATTACGCGTGTTGCTTTCATAACGCGCGTTAAACTCTATCATTCGGACGCTTGTCACTATGACTGATACCCCGTTCTATTGATGGAAACAAAAAAAAAGAGCAAACGTCAGTTAAAAATTGAAATATGCACAAAAAAACGAAATTTCCGCTTCCTCTAATGGGGATGTTCGAGCAAAATTTTCAAAGCACTCGTTCAACTTTGCCGCTTCTACAGGTGGCAAAAACTATTTTCATTTGCCGAGAAATACATTTCTAATATGTCAGTTTCGCGATCGAAGCAGTTGCAGCGATATAGGTTTTGCCCAGCCGTAAAACGCGCGACTGCACGTTAGTCGAGAAAAATGCGACGATGTAAATGTCGACTCTACATATGAGGATAACGTTTTTACGGCGCAGGAATCTATTGTTTGTCGCGGAAGTATCGCGCTATAAAAAAGTGGTTCGTGTGTAGTGCAAGTTAAGGTCACAATTCCATCGCGTATAGTTAATTATCGCGCGACGTTGAACGTGGTCGCATCTTCCGATAAAAACTTCAACAAAATTGAACTTAAAGTTCGATAAATAATACGATATGCAAATATAATTAAACGTGCCTCCGTATGGCATAAGTATTGTTAATTATATATATATCATTTTCCACGATGGGCAGAAATTTTTTTATACATTTAGCCAAGTCGTTAGGACAAGATACCGTAATAACGTTTCGTGATCTGGTAATATACATCATTATTTGTCTCAAGTAACTAGATCGATCAACGTCGACGCGTGTCAACATAATTTATCAATGTACATTTTTCACTCGCATTTTCCTGCTTAGTGTAAATAAAATATAAATTATAGTGAAATCTCTAATCTTTTAATTTCAGATATATTAATTGGAAAAAAATGATTAAATATTTCTCTCCAACTCAAGACGATAACAAAAATAAACGTACAATGTATAATAAATCAGGTTAATTGTTAGATAAGCAATTAGCCGACTTAAAGAACTCTATGTAATTGAATCATATACCGAGGGAAAAAAGATTAATATAACTGTAATTATATTATAAGAAGATATTTTCGGCACGTCTGCGAGAAGGAAGTAAAGTGCCTTTTAAATTTTCGACGAAATCATTATACGAGCTGAACAAAAGGCTTAACAAGAATGTGTACATAATGAGGCGAAATGATATTCTCATGTCAGATATAGTCAGCGCATGTTAACCAGACAAACTACTTTTTTTCTTAGCAGCTCCGAACGCGGAGAACGATAAATTCTCGCAGGCCGGACGTTCGCGGGCGCATACGTATGTTTACGTTAGCTGCGGTACAGGCGTTAAGATGTAATAACATGCAAAAGAGAGAGTCTCGCGTAAACCCTAATGGTCGTACGACATACCAGTCGACTTGTAATCGGACAAGCATCAAACGCCGACGGCACAGCCTACTATTACCAACTATTACCGTCTACTACCGCGCTGCGTTAACCGCGCTTAAGCCTTTCTTCGTGCTCCCGTTCTGTTTCAGCCAACTGTTTCCCGTTAAATTTAAGTCGCGATTGTACCGGCAGCATAGTACGGATTAAGCAAATCTAATTTAGCAATTCGCTGTTTTGCCTTGTTTTTTCTACTTTTATCTATGGCAAAAGCAGAGAAAGAAGATTTAACTTAGTTCTTAGATTTAGTTAACTTAGTAACTCATTAACTAAACTTACAATTAGCTGTAAGCGCTGTTGGCGCAACCAGCTGCAAGCTTTACAGCTAAATCTCTCGCAGCATTTACAGTAGAAGTGTCGTAGAACTGTTAGCATTCGAACTTTAGTTTGCAATAACAATATTTGGCCTCGTTTGAAATTACATGACTATAGTAGAAAAGTCTCCATTGTAAAGCACAAAGGACTTTCCCGAAATTACTGTCTCTTACACTTCGTCCGATGACAAATATATTGTTCCACGTAAAAAAAAACTATCCTGAACGTTTATTAATCTTACTTAATTTTTCAAAGAAAATATCAAATAATTCTGATAATGCTGAACTTAAATTGGAAAAAATAAGCCTTTGGGATTCGATTTCAACACATTTTTCGTTAAAAAAAAATATGTTTTGGAATATGCATCAAGTAAAGATTAAAAACGCAAAAATAATCGCAAATTATTCATGGAAAGCTTGTGTTGAACTTTCGTCTTATCTCTGCCTTCTCACACCCCTACGTTGTTCAAGGACGTACCGTTGCGGACGTTTCAATCGGTTGGTTTGTGTGCGCGCCGAGGACACACCTGAATAATGTTCGAAAACGACAGTAGTTGACGTTTGTCGTGGCGGTGCCTAGCGTGCAGGTTATCCCCCTTTTCCTCCCGGTTCAGCCCTGCTTCTATAACGGGGTGTTCACCCTCCTGCCCCCTATGCCTACCGTCGCCTCCTGTTGCCTCATCCCTCCACCCCTCGGCGGGACTCATAATTGTCCAAAAGGGCATATCGCCGACGCGACGGGGAGGATACCGGAGACACGAAAGTGGTTATGCACATTCCTACTTGAGGAAGAAGAGAGAAAGAGCGCGACGAGGAGAAAGAAAGAGAGGCAAGGGGTGAGTTTGCGAGGATCGTCCCCCCTGTGCCTCACGGCTGAATACTTGAATATTGATTAAGCATGCACATCGCGATTACCGGGAGCAGGTAAAAGCGCTCTTCTTGCCGGAGTCCCGCAGCCTGCGTGTCTGCGGATATTTATGTGGAGCGGTGCTCCTCGACGATGTTCCCCTCCCCGCTTCACCCCCGCCGTGCCTGTCCCTCGTCAGCACCCGTCCGCGCGCGCGAGCGTCGTCTCGGAGGGATAAAAAAGGCCTTGCCGGAAGACTCGTAAGATATCCGCTAGCCATGAGACGTTTAAACGATGAGAGCGCGGATGTACGCGAGCGTGCACGGCTGCTTGATTTACGATCGGCCTTCGCAGGATTATATCCTTCGATTGCGGGTTACCGCGCGCCGCGAGCGCGAGCTGCCCCAGTTCGCCGCCGGTCAACGATTAACGGAATAGCGGAAAGCCGTCTCACAATTTGTTCCCGTTTCCTTCTTCTGCCCTCTCGCCCGGCGCGTAGTTACGAAGACGGAAGTAACCCGCGCGAATACGCGGATGCGTGAAATTAGTTGCAACATTTTCATGATATTTCGCGATGTATCATTATGACAAACGCGATACTCCTGTTTAAATTAGCCAAGAGCAAGATTCTCGATTGATAAGTGGCTCCGACAGAGACAAAAGTATTTATTAGGCGCCGAGTTATTCGCGAGAACAGCGTTTCAAGTCGTGATTGTGTATTGTTCATTTTGAATGAAAGATAATTGTGGAATCGCGATAATGACGAAAAATACGAGTTTCGATGTGGAACAGGTGTTTTGTCGTACACGCAAATGTGTTTCGCTGACTCGTTATATAGGCATTGTATGAATCTAGGGAATAATTAGCCCGATTTCCGAATTTTCCACTATTACGCAAATTGTTATAAAAAAAATCATTAACTAGATTGAAGTGATATCATTGAAACTTTACAATAAATTATATTGTAGAAGTATTTTTATCATTAAGTGTACTTATTTGTTCATGATAAAAGATTTCTCAGTCAACTTTACTAGAAAAGAAGAACATGCTAATGTGATAAGTTGCATAAGCCAGATAACGCATAAACTGCGATTATTCGTCTCTTTTTTCTCTTTCTAAAGAGAAGATGCGAGAACATAATTCACGAGCCAATATCACTGAGCTAATTTACTCCCGGCGCGCAGCTGTCTAATTAAGCTGGCTTTCGCGCAACAAAGCGCGTACGTGTGGTTGCAATCGGATGGGCTTTACACGCGGCCAGGCATCCGGGAACTTCCGCGTTGTTGACCACGATCGTCCTCCACTCGAAGCGGAGGAAGCTCCACGAAAAAAAGACCGGAGGACGCGCGGGACGGCGACACGAGGCAGGAGAAAAAGCCCTCAAGCTTTGAATATTCAGTAGATACGTCCCGGTCGCGCCAGCTTCCCCGTCTGACCTTATTTTTCCATGGAAAAAACTGCAGCTTCCGTCGCTACTTAGAGATTCGCTTCGCCGTTTGTAAAGAAGAACACGTCGCCGGAAATTTGCACCAACGCTCGCAGATCGGACGAACGACGGACTGAGTTGAATTAGCGTCGGGGGTGTCGAGACGGAATCGCATTCTTGATTAACCGTCGATCCTGATAAGCAAACTTTCAACGGGGTGGAAATATACCGAGAGGTGACGGTATCGATCCCGAAGGGTCGGTAGAACAGGTTTGTACCATCTACGCGTGAAGTTTTCGCCCTGACTGATAAACTAGCGATCGTAGGTAAATATATAATGTTCAAAGATAACACCGCAGTCGTTATCACTGCGGTCGGTAAGACCGCAGAAAATCGAATCGGACAATCGATTTGACTTTCGCGTTTTTCTCAAGTTCAGAGATTACATAAAAGAAAGAGTAAGAAAGTAAATTGTTAAATAAATGTACAGTCACTTATGTGCTTGCAGTTTGTTAACAAGAGTAAAGTAGAAAAAATCTACTTTGAACGATTCAGAACTCCTGCGGAATCCTGTTTTTATAATTTCGATATATCGCTCACGTTAGAAATTGTGGTACTTACCAGGATAACTGCAGTCATGTTCGTCACTACCATCTTGGCAATCTTCCACAAAGTCGCATTGTTGGGATTCCAATATGCATCTGTTTACGTCGCATGCAAATTCGCCAGCGCTGCAACCTGTAAAATATAATTATTAATACATATGATCGCAATCTGAAATTAAACTGTTTTGTTGATAATTTATCACACAATATGCTTAAAGATTGTAACTGTACATCGTTGTAACATACAACATACAATAATTTATTTTTGAGTGTAAAAAAGCATTAGAAAGACGTACAATCTCATTCTTGTTAGCACATATTGCATGCATCAGTGCAACAAAAATCTGCAATTTTTAATAACACATATACATTCATACAAAATACAATAGAATAAAACACTATATTGAAATTTCTAAGCATGTCTCGTGATAACAATGTACACATGCAATACTGTCAAATTATGTAAAAAGGATCTTATGTTACAATATAAAACACATATGTACATATATGAAAAACGTTTAGGAAAAATAATTCTACACGTACTGAATTAGATAGACCGCGCTCATTATTTTACGTATATAGCGTATTATTTTTATCAAAAAATGTTCTAAGATTAAAGTAAATTTAAGACCACATAATTTTCTTTAAATTGCAAACGGCGCCGTTTTTGGTAGCCGTGAAAATAACAAGCCACGGTCCTTCTAGCTCGTCGATTTTTTTTTAGTATCAAACCAAATCCTTGCCAAGGATCGATCGGCTCGATCTGTACCTGGATGCGGGCAGTCGATCTCATCACCACCGTCATCGCAATCCGAAACGCCGTCGCATTGCTGCACTGAACAAATATGACGACTGCCGTCCTTACAGCGTACCGTGTCGTCAGCGCGACATTTGTTCGTTCTCAAGTTGAGCTCTTTGTCCCCTCCTTCATCAACATCTCGTATATTTGGTCTTACTTGCGGTGGAAATTCTGTTGTGGGTAGATCTAGGTGGTGAAAACGGCTCCCTTCTGGATGTTCCACGGTGGTATGCTCGAAATCTGCTGTTTTGTTTCAATATGATTCAATATCGACGATACGGTGCGCGAATGTTACACACGTGTTAGCGAAAAGCGCGAATTAGGCGAATGGAAGGCAGGTATCGAAAATGATAGTAGATTTTTGGATCGTTGTTCTGCGAGAGTTATTTTAGCGCCTCATAAAATTTATAAATATTTATATAAATCGTACTAAATAATTAATTGATAATTAAAAATGTATTAATATCACACGAGAGTGTTTCACAAACAAGATTAAAAATGCTGGAAGGTATAATAATATAAATCTGAAATGGAACTCGTTGCCTTTTAGATCTCCAAGATACTCCATATATAAGCGTTACATTCTTTGTTAGTGCAATTAAAGAATTGCGATAATAAACAAACCATGCAGAGAGCATAATGAAGCTGTAATTACAGCTATGTTACAACGTACCCGTATATCCGTACACTATGACCTTTGTTAGCAGAAGAAAGTAAAAATGTACGTTTTATAAATAAAAACTATGGACAAGCGATTGACTTAGCTAGTTATTATATAAATTTTTCTTCGCAAAGAGAAGATTATGCAGTGCGGAAGCGAGTCCCGCGTTACTTACCGTCGCTGGTCCTATTTAATGAATCTCTCGGGCAGTTATCCTCGTCAGAACCATCGTCGCATTGCAACACGCCGTCGCAGCGCGATTCCAACGGTACGCATGCACCACTTCTGCACCTTAATTCGGCTGCTTGATCACATTCCGGCTGATCATCTCTCTCTCCAGCTGCATCCGGATGTCGCATACATTCGTGTTTGCATGCATTCATCGTTTCGGAGGAAGATGGAATGGATCGTGACCAGACGACGTTCATTTGAAAAGAGGTTTTAAAAAAGAAACATTTAATGAAAACAAAAAATTAATTGAGGGAAAGTTAACATTAAAATAATAACAATTAAGTTAAAATACTGAATATAAAAGAAATGGATCGAAATAATAAAATTAACCATTATGAGAATAGGATTTGAATCAATTTTACAACTGTGAAAGCATTTTATGACAGGAATAGCATTTCATGCAAATCTATTTTCGTGTCTACGCTTTTTAATAATATAAACACATCAAAATAACATGTTCCACCAGAATGATCGATTTCACTTCTTGACGCCGAGCGCATCATATCTTCGATTGTTATATGCAAACTATTTTTTGCACAGTCATTAATCACTTTTGACCGTTGAGAGATCGGTCGTTCGATATTCCTCGAGTCTTCGTACTTCTTGTATTCAGACTTTTCGCAAGCTCGCGGCATCGCGGAAAGTTGAACGAATTACGAAGTTTAGTCTCGAAGATTCCAACGTGAAATCGATCATTTCCAGTCGTTAGGCGGTAGCCGCCGATGGAAATACCTTGGAATATCCTGAATGTGAATCCCTGCGGACCTACTTGGACGCTGCCCAAGGAATGATATTGCAGCTGTTGCTCTAGGATAGCACGCACCTCAAGCTCGTCTGTGAATGTCGAACCAATGTCTAGGGTAACTTGCAACGTGAAAGCGTCGGACGTCGGTCTAAAAGTGAAACGTAACTGGTAGTCCAAAGCAGTAGAGATACAACATTAAAAATATCACCAAAGCGAAATTAGATGATACTTACGATATTTTGACAACATTGACCAAGTGCTTGTATCCCGGAATGTGGCGGTTGAATAAGTTCTCGAGCGCATGAGTGAGATTGCCACTTAATTCTCGATATTTAAGACTATTTCTGTCAGAATATTCTCGTCTGTATGGTTCGCCGACTGTCAACGTAATTCGATAGAATCCTGTAAAAAAACATTGGTTAGTAAAAAATAAAAACTCTTAATTTCCTTAAAAATAAATCTACAAATATATGATATATTAATTAAAAACTAAAGAGACTAATAAACTAATAAAAAAAATAAAATGTTTAAAAAATCCAATAAAAAAAAATAGAAAATTTTATTTTTAGAGATATTAATAATATTTTTTTTAAAGCAGCTTTCTTTTATAGCACCTTTTAAAGACAAAAAAAGTCTTTTTATCAAAAAAGTAATAACTTATTTAACAAGTGATCAAATCACATTTTAATAAAGAAAATGCAATAAGTGTTCCAGCAATAAAAAAAATTATAGAAATCCATTATATGCTATTTAAATTATATAATTATAGTATCGATTCATGTGCTATAATATCTCTGATTATAATTAATATAATTTTTAAAATATTTTCTGCCTCGCGCTAAAATATCAGTAGTACATCTTAAAATAAAGTTGCCATTTTCTCTTACTTTGATATTACAAGAATATAAAACTTATTTTAAAATTTTCCATATTAATAAAAACGTACAATGTTTAGTAGACAAATTATTACAATAATTTTTATTCTTCTTATCAATTCTTATTATTATATGCCGTTTGTATTGTTCAAAGAAATATTATTACACCATTGCCATAAATAATTAAAGTTAATTAAAATCTAACAGATTTATTGTCTTCATAAATAAAGAATTATAAAGAAATGTACAACTAATTAAATTAGTAGTATGTTTGATTAAAAAAATACTTAACATATTAAAATATATTTAATTAAAGTAATAGTATTAGTATTTATTTTAATCAATAAAATTGCAATTCTATAAAAAATTAGAGACTTACGTATTTTGCCGTCAGAGTTGCCATGAATACTTGGACGATGGTCTATTTCTATTCCGCCTTCTCCTGCGCTACCTTCGATCTCTCCTGATCCGGCTAAATCTTCATCATCGCTATTTCCATATGTTATCGGTATTCTGTGACTTTCCGCGACGTTACTGATCTCATTATCGTGCTATATGGACATAATAATATTTTTATATAGTAGAGATATTAATTATAAATTAATGAATAAATGTTGCAATTAAATGAAAAAACTGTAACGCAAACATACTTCCAAATCATCTATCATCGTTTACAAATCATCTATCGTATAATACTATTATCTATAGTAATATTATTGCAACCAAACATTTTCATAGAATTGAATTAAATGTAATAAACAGATGAAAAGTTAGAAAGCAAAATGTTTTCAAAGTAATATTTCATACCTCGTCATCTACGTCGCCAGCATCTTTATTCTTTTCACGAGTCAATCTTTCACTGACACCAGCAGCTAGATTTTCGGCACTTGGTTCTTCAGGTTGATCAAGAGTATGATTTCCGTTGTCTCCGTGCAAAATAACAGCGTTGTCAATAACTTGATCTTGATCTTCTTTTTGTTGATCTATCAAAAGAAAATTGAATAATTGAAAAATGGATAAATGGCATAAATATTTTCAATAATTCTAATAATAAAGATTTTAATTGCACTTGATTAAAACTTTAGTACCTGACGGTGCTTGTGTCGTAGTTGTCGTTGTAGATAATGGATTTAAAAAATCCAAAACCTCTCTCTTTATCCTATGAAAAAGGGATTCGTCCTGTTGCTTTTCGATCAATGGTGCTTGGACTGCGGGTTGTTTGCCTTCTAGATCGAAAATCAAGTCATCGTCCTGAAAAAACAAATCAAAGTTGTAGGCTTCATATTTTTAAGAGAAATCGATTAGTTTTACATCAATAACAATTGTTACATGTTAGCGTGATAATTTGCTTATTCGTTTAATTTATTGTTTAATAATCGCTATTCTAATCATTATCATACGTAGAATACAAGCGCACATAACTTTGTTAATATTTTTATGAAAACGTAAACTCCGAAATCTAGTTTCTCGTATTTCAGATAGTTTCGAGAATGTTTTCTGCATTCGTTACAATTTCCGCCACTTTATAATAAATGCATAAGTCACTATCTCATCGGGTGCCTGAGAATCTGCCACCAGATAACCGCATATGCCTGCCCGCATACGCACGCGAGCAGCAACGGCACGTGTGAAAGACTATCGAGCGTATGTATTGCCAAGTATCCTCACGTGTCCCTCATAAAGAACCAATTCTCACCTAAACACACGATATAAATTCAGGATCGTCGGGCCATTCTGGCGGTAGCGGCGCGTCGTGATTCCGTAAAAACCGCGGCGACCGGCAAACTGCCCAAGATTCGAGTACGCGGGTCAATGACGTCGCTCGTGCGGGATGAAAATGGAGAGAACCGACGTACCGTATGGCAGGTATAAGCCAGAAGAGCCAACCGGAATAACGTATCGTTATGGGCGAATACCTGACGAGCTTGGGCTACGTACATTCCGCCCGGTTATGCAAACGCATCGCCGTTACAACATAAATATGAATAATACACTGTGTACCGATAGTACGATTCTATGTGCGTTTCTTACGTACGAATGAGAGAGAAGACATGCAACGCCTGTTAAATGAAGCGTTAATAAATTCTTTCACGGTCGTATTCGCTTCCAGCGAAAAGTGGTTTAATCAAACTATTTTAAGTATGCCGTTCTCTAAAATTAAATTCTCTAAATTTCAAAATTAGAATTTTCTAAGAATTTTAACTTATTTTTCTATGTTTTTTTTACTATGTGAAGGATTTAATTTTTATGTTAAGCGAGAACAACAATTTTTCTAAAATAGAGATAAAAATTAAGATATTAAAATAAATTTCTTATTTTACATTACATAAAGTTAAATTTTATGACACAAATTCGCGCCGATTTCTTTTTTAATAGAATTACTTTCCCAACAGCAAACAAGACAGATTTGTTTTTGACGCGACGTTTATGCATGCGCGCACAAAGTGCATGGCACTGCAACACGTGAGCGGAAATGTCGAGGTATCTTTTTTCACAGATGTGGAAGGTGGCAACTCGTGCACCGGTAATGAAGCTTGAAGCACGCCAGGCGAAGCGTATTATTACAGTCGCGCGTTTACACGTCACGCAGGCATCATTTAAGGATTCGCATGCAACATCCGACGATCGCACGCATTTACACGCAAGCGGCATTCATGCTTGCGTACGTCGTCAAAATGCGGGTGCAAAGCGATATACATGTGTTATATAACTTTGAACTCGGTCTTAACGAGGCTAACGACACGGCGCTACGTTTATTAATCCGCATTCAAGACAGTCTAAACATTCGCTGCACTCGCCGCACACGCGAGGTAATCGGATGCCTCTTCTTTGTTCGAAAGATCATCTCGTTAAGAGAAAAATAACATTTAGACATAAAAAAAGATCAAATACGTGCCACATGTTGTTATTATACTTCCATATTAATCGATCTTTCACCTCTTCAAATCTCATCTCTTCAAAATATTGTTCATTGAGTGTGTTTCTTAAGCATTAAGAATCACAAGCAGCAAAAATGCAACAACACTCGACGTGCTCGTTATTTCAAAATTGCGGAAGTCCGGACTTAGCGGCACGCAGATAAAACGCACTGCGAGGGACCATTTTAGATCGCGATAACGACCATGATGTGCGGCACATCCTGCCAGAAAACAGCTGGCACGATGTTCGCACACGCGGTTTTATTACAGACAATTTAGCGATTCGATCCGCATCTAAACTGTCCTTTAAACGATTACAGCGATGTGCACATCATATCATTATTAGCTAACGAGCATATGGATTTTATAAATAAAGAGGCCATCGGAAAAAATAATTTTATCTTATTTGCGGATACTTTGATAAATTCAACGAGACTCAACAAAATATAATCAGAAAAATATATTACTTTCGCAGAAAGTTTATATTAAAAAATACGATATTAAATAAGGCATTACTTATTAAAATATGTGTTATTTCAAATAATTAAGATTTTTGAAATAACTATCTAGTAGACATCTAATTTGAAAATATCTTCTAATATGTTCTTTTACATCTCATTGTATCTCACATTTTATTCTGTTTTCATGTAGATTTTAACAGCGCGACGTAAACTTTTAGCGGGTGCAAAGCACGCGCTAATGACAGTCCACCGATAACGAGAATATAAATCCAACGCGGCGAGGTTGGACATCATAATAGAGCTCTTCGGGAAAAATAAAGAATCTGACCACGCTGGGCGCGGAAACATCAGCGCGGTCTGAGACGCGGAACTTTGTTATTCCGGGCAAGTTTTACACGGGATTCCACAGCTAAGTCCACTCTATGATCCTTTCACGGCAACTACGTGCTCATACTTCGACAAAACACCGCCCCTATAGTCCGAAATCCTTAAAATGCATGGGAAATACGTGTTGGCGCAGGTTAAGTAGCCCTAGGAAATTCGTCCTGCGTCGAACAGAACCGGCGAACTTTGGAGGGCTTTAGGATAAAGTTGCCTGCGACGCGACAGAGACGTAAGATGCTCAGTTAACCTTCCTTGTTTCCATTTTCTCTTTTTTCTTCCTTTTTTTTCTCGTAATGAGCCTCGCCTCATTTTGGCGAACCGAATGATGCACTGGTCAGAATGAGTCGGCGAAGTGTATTTCGTAATTACGCAAGAACTTTCATTGCCATATGCGGTCGCTTAAAACCGTAGCGCGTTGATGACTATACAAGGTAACGAATAAGATAAAATGCAAAAGTCAGCAACAGAAGTATATTTCTATACAAATTTAAATTTTTTCCCCTTTTTTTTGAAAAAAAGAAAACAATATTATCGTATAAAGCTATATCAACCTCTAATGTAAATATAAAATGTATGTCGACATATATTTATAATAATAAAATTTTTCTATCCAATTTGTAGTTTTCATCACCGAAATATTGTACATTGCTAGACACCCGGTATTTTGATAAGAATCGATAAGTACGTCTCAGAAAGAGAATGTTAGCACTTTTTTCCTCTCATTGTTGCAATTCTTACTTATGTCTTACTAAACCATCGTATGTAGGCTATCTCAGTTTGTTCGCGCACTGACGCGCGCACGAGATAACAGATATATATCTTTTATATAATACGGTTAGTTTCAGTTAAAAGCCTTTTTTGCATAATCATATTGATAACAGACACAGTGTATTTGAAAGAAGAGATAATTATAGTTTTTAGTAGAAACAAATCAGACATTAAAAGAAACTAAGTAGAATTCGATTTTAATAACATTTTTAAAATTCAATTTTATATACGGAATGACTGATGTAATACTGATCAATGTAGTAAATGATCAAATAAAAATAATTTCAAAAGAACAGCATATGGCATCTAAGTAAATAAATGCGTGAATTACTACAAAGAGGCTTAGTGTCCAAATTAAATGGATTACTCTTTATAACAATATGTAGCTCAAATTTAAAAAATATAAAATTTTTTTAATATAAAAAAATTTAATCCTTTTTGGCTTTTGTCTCTTTTTTGAACAAATAATAAGCTAAAATTTATTAATTTATGTAAATGCAAATTGGCAAAGTTTAAAATTTGTCTTGCATTTTATTTTTTATTATTTCGTTAGTTGTAATTTTACAATCGTAATCACGCGAATGAGAACACCATACTACATTTTTCTCATGCTTCACATTAATACTGATATGACTTGTAATCAAAGCATTTGCAATCTGTGGGTCAAAGCGTACTACAGATAATCAGCGACCTACAAGTTCGCAAATTTTTAGCACGAAAAATCGTAGATTGCTACACAGTTTTTAATACAGAAGAATAATTTAAAAAACTATTACAAACGTATATAATATATATCAAATATATTAATTACTTATAAATTACTTAAATTTTCCTTCATTTTATAATATTATGTAATATCATATAACACACATACACGCACACAAAGCCACTAAAAAAAATAATAAAAGAAGAAAAATATAATACATTTTATAATTCTCCATATTGCAGTCATGTCTAATGAATGCATTCTTAAAATGGAAAGTTAGAGTTTTACAATAACGTTCTAAATATTTAAGAACGTCTTATGAGATAAATGATAATTATTGCATAACGGTTATTAATATAATTGACTTAATAATACGACTGCTATAAAATACTCATTCATCTATCTAACGTTATAAAATTACCTGAAAAATTGTGACACCTACATATATATAGAACTGTAATTTAGTAGTGTCAAAAGTTATGCGTCCCAAAGAGAAAAAAAGGAGGCATGCTCAAAGGTCAAGATCCAGCACGTCTCGCGTAAGGCAAGCAGGCAGGCATCGGAACGAAGAAATCCCTCCAATTTGAGGGACTTCTTCGGGGCTTCGACTTAACGAATATATACGTCCGCTCTTTCGCGTCCTCCAGAAAGAGGAAGCCGATATGACGCAGAAAAAGCGAGTCGATAAAAGCGAGAGAAGGGAGGAAATGATAGAGAACGGAAGAGAGAAGGACGTGAAAAAGGAGAAGGGGAGGTTGGCCGATCGTCCTTTGTCTTAAGCCGTGCTATATTAATGCGAAGAACATGTTACATGGAGTGGAATAAAGGGGTGACAGCGGGGGAGAAGGAGAAAAAGGAAGGCGGGGAAAGGGTGGCGTCGTGGCGCGAAAAAGAAGAGCGGAACCGCGCGGAATACTAAGGAGGATCACACACGCCCACCGAATCTGCGTCCAGGATGGAAGGACAGGAGTGGGTACCCCCTGTTTAACCGCGCCTTTGCATTTTAACAGGCTC